CTCTGATATTAACATTTATTTATTATTAACATATAAAGACATCTTTGTAAATCTACGTGTATATTCTGTGAATTTAACCTGCCTAGACTAGCTTTAGCTATATGCAGGTTATATAGTTTTTCTTTTTTGTATTCTTTTATTCATCAATAAAGTTAAAGTTCCCGTTCGGTCCGTTTAATTCCTATTCATATGATTTTTCATCTTGTTTTTCATCATTGCTCTTTTTCTCCATGACCACGAATTTTAAAACGTACTCATAATTTCTTTCTTGTTTCCATTTTGTTTTAATTCCAATTTCTTAATTTCCATTTTCCTCGTGTTTTTTCTCCATCATATTTTTAATTTCTTCTCTCCTTCCCAGGGAGTATCTTAAGTGCTCATGACGTCTTTCCCATTTCTAATGCCCATTCTCTATTTCTATTTCACAATATTTTTTCTTTTTATTATCATTTTGTAAATTCTCTTCTTGCTCCCCAGAATTTAATACTTTAAAAATGTGCTGGTGCTCTCCAGAATTTTTATATTTTTAGCTACACGCTAGCCCTTTCGAATTCCTCTTCTATGGTATAGTGGTGGTGGTGGGGATGGTGGGGAGGGAGTAGTCACGGTGCTCCCCAGAATTTAATATTTTTAGCTACACGCCAGCCCTTTCAAATTCCTCTTCTGTGGTATAGTGGTGGTGGTGGGGTTGGTGGGGAGGGAGAAGTCACGGTGCTGTAACATTATTTATGTCAAAATCAGTGCCAGCTTTCACTTTCATTCGGTTTTGTCGAGTTGTTGAGCACATTCAGCTATTTGTTCACGATCCATTGATTTCGTGAGGCGTGAAACGAATACAAATCAGTTTAAACAATTATTTGCCGAAGGCGAAGTGAAGATCGGGGAACATTTACTGAGAGTCGAGTCTTCGAGCGTATTCACTGAGCCTGTGGAGGGAATATTGTTTTAGTATTTTTAACACAAGTAAATATAATAAATAATGGAGAGAAAGAGTTCCAATTTTGTTTATATCTGCAGGCGGCACAAATCGACAAACAAACGTGCGCATGTGCGCTATATTCACCTGAGTAAATTGTCACGAATGAACGCGCCGGAATTATTATATTCACTTGTGTAAAAATACTAATATACGCTTATTGGACTCACGTAAGCCCATTATAGCAGAATATTGAAGTCGAGATTGGGCGAGACCGCACGGCGAAACTTAAATAGTCTGCCATAAATGGCTAGGATGAATCCTATAGTTGTTTTATTATATCGAACAAATATTTTTTCAATAAAAAGACCACTATATAGTGCCAAAAACAATTGGTTTATTTGCAGTCTAATAGGTTGCTGCACAATGTCGCAAAATAATGGATCGCTACGTGACTAAAATATGGATACGTAATTGGAAGATATTGGAGGTGATTGAGGTATAATAACCAGCGATATTTGTACTCAAGATTCACACACACACACACACACACACACACACACACACACACACACACAC